ATGGAGCATATCATCTCTCTCATGGGGGCATTTTGTACCTCAGCCTGGGACAGGTCTCAGGGCCTTTGTATGTGCTGTGCTCACTGCCCAGGAAGCAACTCTCTTTGATTCTCTCACCTGCCACTGCTGGCTGAGATGACCCCCTCCTCACAGTCCTTCTCCCTGACCACTGGGCAAAGGGGCAGGCAGTCCCCTAGTTGCCCCCTTCACACATTCTAGCGCCATTACTCTGCTTTTCTTGCCCACATGAGCACCTGCCAATTAACTTACTACCGTCTGTCTCCTAGGTTTCCCATGAGACCTTGAGAGCAGGGCCCCGTTTTCTCCTGCTCACAGCTGCATCCCCAGCACCAAGCACTAAGTATTTGTGGAATAAATGAAAAAAAAAAAAAAAAAACTGTGCAGAGGCCTGACATCCAAGTACTTGCATCCTTGATGTGGTTACCGAAAGCAGTGGGCTGGGGATGTAACTCAGTGGTAGAGCAAAGCCCTGGGTCTAAACCCCAGCGCTGAAGGAAAAAAAGAGACAGCAGGGCAGGTGTCATTGATTTATTGATTTCTTCCTGATTACTCCAAGAAGATAGGGAGGTGGGCTTAAGAATCATCTGCCCTCTTAGATGGCAAGAGCTTTTGAATTCATACAGTAAGGTGACCGCATTTGGGTCTGAACTGGAAGGACTGACCCCAGGGCCCCAGCTACACTGGTGAAGCAGTGCAACAGCAGCCCCTTTCCCAAGAACCAATGAAGCAAGCTCTACCACAGATTGGGAAACAGGGTCCAGGCATCTCACCAGGAGATGAAGAGTCAAGAGTCTGTCACATCAGCCTGCGCTCCTAGTGGGTCACAAATCATCACCACCCTGGATGGCTTAGAAGGCTTTTACCAGAGCAGATCATAGAGTCACCAGGGCTGGAGCTGCAGGCCAGGGCAGCCCTTGTTTGCATTCTTCCTCCCAGTACAGCTTGGGGAAGAGGGGCACAGCTTAGGTGAGGACCAGGGCTCCACAGACATGGGTCCAGACAGCCAGGGAATGGGCAGAAGGTCAAGGAGAAGAGAAGGTAGGGGGTACAATGATATTCAAAGACAAGATAAGCCCAGAGACTGTGAGCTGGAGGCCAAGATAGCCAGCAGCTCAGCCCCAACCCTCAAGGCCCATTCTGGCAGAAGACTGGACTGTTGCAGACAAGTGCTTTGCCCAAGGCTGTCCAGCCCAGAACTCAGGCCGTGGGTGCCTTCCTGGTGTCTTAGTCACTGCCACTACCTCCCTGTTGAATTTCCAGGGTTCCAATGCCAAAGTGGGATGCCAGAGTGTGCCCATGGTGCACATACATCTGGGGTAGGTGTGGCAGCTCGCCTAGTGCCCCTCGGAGGCAGCACTTTCTTTGCCTGAAAGAAAGGAGAGGATAGAAAGCCACTGTGAAACTGTGCCTCAGACACCAGCTGAGCTGGAAGGCCCAGAGGCCTGGGCCCTGAGAGTCTGTTTGACAGGGGACAAAGATGATGAAAGGACAGAAACACCACTCAGGCTAATCATGCACCAGGCCCTCAGAGGGTGCTCGTTTTACCCCACTGTGCTTGTGGTGTGGCATGTGCTAAAGACAACAGCCCAATTCCACAGGGTATGAAACAGAGATGAAGGGAATGGCTGGGGTCCTGGTGACAGCCAGGGAACACTGAGATGAGAACTAGAGTGTGGGGAGGAGATAGGCAGCTGCATCTGCAGACAGACTGCTGAGGCACAAGGTTCCCTGTGAGCAGGTGAGGTGCAGACAGAGGAAGCCGAGCTGGCAGAATGCACAGCCAAGAACACCACCAGCAGTGGCACAGGTATCCTGAACTGCACCATGTACCAGGCCCGAGGGTTCTGCATCCCATGCAGCCATTCTTATCGGCCCTGGGAAGGAGGCTCTGCCATCACAGGCACTAAACAGAGGAGGAGGCAAACTTAGAGGCTGAGAAGCAAGCCTGAGATCACGACCACAGGGACACGCAGCACATGACCCAGGTCCTCAGCTTTGCTGGCCCCAACTACTGACTATAGCTATAAGAAGGGCCAGGACTCCAGAGAAAACCCTTTGTCATACCCTCCCACAGATGCCCCCTCTGGATCACACAGAGGGAGCTAAAATTTGCAGCCACTTTTTGGGGTGACCCTGGGAAGGCTGTGAGCAGTGTGATTTGGTGCCCCTGATATTTTGCCATAGAAAGTGAACAAGCAGGGGCTGGGGATGTAGCTCAAGCAATAATGCGCTCGCCTGGCATGTGTGGGGTGCTGGGTTCAATCCTCAGCACCACATAAAAATAAAATAAAGATGTTGTGTCCACCGAAAACTAAAAAATAAATATTAAAAAAAATTCTCTCTCTCTCTCTCTCTCTAAAAAAAAAAAAAAAAGAAAGAAGGAAAGAAAGAAAGAAAGTGAATAAGCACAGATGTGTCCTCCCCTGCCCCAGACCTCCGCAGTGTGTGTAGTTGTCCTCCAGCTGCAGAAGGTCAGCTTACCTTTAGGGATGAACTTCATCGAGCTACTAAATATTCAGAATCGGGATTGCCCAGGCTTGGGGCCATCGTTCAGGAATTCATGGCCCAAACCATTGCCACATCTGCCACAGGACACCTGGGAAGCCCACAAGGTAGCCATGTCAGTTCTGGCCCATCAGACAGCCCTGGTGCAAGCCAGTCCTACTGTGGAAGGCTGACCTTCGTCCTGGGGCCTAGGTAGGGAAACTGCCCTGATGCCCACATTCCACCAGGACACTAGGCTTTCCCCAGGTATGGAGTGGCAGTCCCCTTGCTGAGGCCAGAAGCCTCAAATAGTCAGCCTGGAATTCCCAAGAGTTGTGGGGGAAGCAAGGAAGGAAGGTGTGACTGGTTCTCTGGCTCTCCCTGAACACGCCCCCAACTCACTGTCACCCACCTTCAAGGCCTGAGGTCGATTGTGCTCCGCACGCTTGGCCACACTGTCAGCGTGGATGGTCTCAGTGAATGCTGGCCATGGGGATGAGTGTGCGTACTTCGCATGGCTGGAGAAGAGCTCATAGCCACACTTGGCACACACATAGATGCCTGGAGTGTGGAGAAAGTAAAGGCAGAGAAATATCAATGGCCGCATGATTTGGAATCTTTTAACATTTCCATTTTACAGATGAGGAAGTTGAGGCTTGGTACTGTGGACATCCAGTGAGGTGTGTGGCCAGGAAGAAGCCCAGGCAATCTGATAGGGACAGAGCACTTACCTCACCACACCCTGCAGAACCCACAGAGAGGGGCCCTGAGTGGTCAGCATGACCACCTGGCCCCACTCCCATTTCAGCAGCTATCCTACTACCCAACAAAGCCCTGAACTGGACACCCACCCACTGGCCTGCTCTCCAGGAGGAAGAAGATAGTCCCGGAGAACAGGCCTCCAGCAGACAGGGAACCCAGAAAGACAGGGGCCGGGAGGACAGATTTCAACCCATCCCCAAAAGATCACTTTGTGGTAGAGAGGGCAGGGGCAGAGAAGTTTGCAAAACTGACTTGCAGATTATTTGAAGAACTCAAAACAGGAAACTCCATGGGTACTGAATCACTCCCCACCTATCTGGGGACAGCCTCCCCTGAAGTCTGTGAATTATTCAGCCTTTACCAGGAACTCAAGCAGGAAGCAAAGAACTAGAAGATGCTATGGAATGGAGTTTCCCTTGGCAGAGGACAAGCGGGGTCTCATAGCCAGAGGGTCCAAGGAACAATTTTGCCCTCATGGTCCTGTGTCACAGCTGGTCCCATAGTGCTCAGTGTCATAAACCAGTCCCCTAGAGGATTAACACTCAACAGATCCCATACCAGGGAGGCCTGTGCCCTAGTCTTTCCTGTGGATGTGTTTTTACCAAATTAGTCCATTATCAGGAGTCCAACCAGCTAGATGAGAACTTACCAGGGCCTCTCACAGCCTGGGGCCAAGGCTGAGGTTGGGGTATGCCCCAAACTACCGCACCTATTTAGTCACTTGCCAAATTTCACTGACAGCTGCCAAAAACTGCAACCCTGGATACCCAACCCGGAAGGCATGGGCAGGTGGGGGAGGACACAGACGGGCACATTTTTATTCAGTGCTTGCTCACTCACCAGCGGAAATGGGAACCCGAACTGCCTTCGGGTTAGATAGATTTTCCATCGCGCCGTTCAGATGACCAGTATACCCCGGCCTCCTCACCACCCGCTACACAGCTGGACCCACGGCTTCCCTCAGTTCTCCCCTGGGGTCCTCCTACTCCCAGGACCTCCGGGGTTCCTCCTCCTCGACCCCCTTTGCCTTCAATCGCTTCTCATCAGCTGCCACACACGTCCTATTCCCGGACTCGGACTCCACCACCACCCGAAGCGAGGGGACTCCCCTTCTTATGCACTCCTTCCATCCCACTCCCTCCCGGCAGGGGCGACAGGCTGGACCTGGCTCAAAGTGGTTCTGGAAAACCTCGTTCCCGAAGAAGCTGCAGAACGACATGGCACCGCCGGGACAGCCTGAAGCTTGCAGCCCGGGACAGCCTAAAAAGCAGACTGGAGGGAGCCGGCCCGCGCCCGCCTCCCCTTCCCGAGGACCATTCACTCTGCAGCCGCCCCAGCCCCGCCCCTAAAAAGGACCAATCAGAGGGGCACCAGAATTTCGCCCGGCCCGCCTCCCGATGCCCCGCCCTTCTCGAAGACAGGCTGGATCCTGTCTTCCAACAGGCCTCGCCCATCGGTGTCTCCTACCGACCACTCCCGACCGCTTCCCAGAAGCCCCGCCTCTGCCGCGCAAAGCCCCGCCCCGTCCCGTCCTTAAGGCCACAGAGTCACAGGGCCTCAACGGGATCTTGGGGACTCAAGGGGATCTTGGAGACTCCTGCGACCAGGCTCCAGAGTGGGATGGCGATGCACCACGGACCCGCATCCCCTCGCCCTGTCTCCAGAGCTAAGCCCTGAGCCACCGACCGGCCCTTCCGGCCTTTCTCGCGCCCTCAACTCTCTGAGACACTGGGAAGAGTTGACCCCGGTCTTTATTGGACAGAAGAGGCAGGTGGGGTGTGTGCATCTCAGGCCCACGTAGCTTATAAGTCTCCAGAGGTCTCTGGCTTTTCCTTTTCCAGATGCTTCTTTTGAGGGCCCTGAGGAGGACAGGAGGATTGTTAGTCACAGGAGTCTGTCCAGGGATACCGTCCAATGGCTGCCCTGCTGACCCTAAAAGCCCTCCTGTGGGTAAGGCAGGGAGATGCCCTGCCAGCTCCTTCTGCACCAGTTTCCCTGGCCCAGAGGAGGAGAAATATGGAGTCTGAGCCCCCAGAGAACATGAGGGCTGAGCTCACCATGAAGGCCCTCTTCTCCTGGGCTGTCTGAAAGCAGCCATGGCCAAACTTAGAGGTGGTGTCAATGAACTTGAGCTCAATATTCTCCAGGGCCCTGCGGCTGTGATGCACCAGGAGGGACTGGAAATGGGTGGGAGAGGAAGTGTCAAGGCCAGAGGGTTCCCATCCCCGCCCTTCACCTTAAATGCACACCAGGAAGGTCTTGCTCACCCCACTCCAGTCAGACCCTCGCTTTCAGCTCCCACCCCCCTACCCCACCTTGAGCAGGCTGGAGGATGGAACAGGCTAGCTGGGACAGCCCATGAGGGACAGGACCTCCTGTCCACATGCTGTGCTGACCTTCCTCAGCGTGATGACCCGCTTCTTGGTACCAGCAATGCAACCCTTCAGCATGACAAAGTCGTTGTTGACTTCCCCATAGTGGGGGAAACCACCCTGTGGGGGAGGCAAGTCAGAGGCCAGGCTAGTCAAGGGGTGCTGTATTAGGAGGTGGGTGTGGCTGGGAGTCCTGGAATTCCTACACACAGGGCTATGATGGAAGGAGCCCCATGCCCAGCCCCCAGGCGAGGGGGTGACATCCTCATCCTGGATCACTAATCAGGGCAGCATCTGAGGCACATGCTAAGTTGTTTTGTGTCTTAGCTCATTTAGTGGTCTGCATTTTTGTGGGGAGAACTGAAGCTCAGAAGGTTGGAGTCTCTTGCTGCAGGCTCTAGCTGCAGCCCCTTGGGCTGGGCTGGGCTCGGCTTCAGTCCACAGCAGCACTGCTGCACCTCGTCCCTGTGAAGCAGCCGGAGTGCAAGCTCCTCAGAGGAGGCTTGGAGAATGAAGGAGACTGCAGGGATGGGGGCCACCAAATGGCTGCTCCCTAGTCCACTGGGCCCACATTACTGCCCACCTGGCAGGGCCATGTGCCCCCATCTGCCCGTGGGAACAGCATCCCACTGTGGGGCACAAACCTGAGCTCCTGACTGCCCCCTACATGCTCCTTGGCCAGCCTGGCCTCCCACCTCACCAGGGGTGTGATGGACTTGTCAGTCACATCATAGCTGGTGGATGCATTGTTCTTAACCAACTTTCCGTCTTCCATGTGCAGCCCTCTGCCAATATGGTAGATCTGCCAGGAGAAGAGGGCAAGAGGCAGGCTCTGGAACCAGGGGCATGTCCACATCCATCAGGACACGTGCTCAGACCCAGATGGGGATTTAACCATGCAGGCAGTGTCTGGGTCATGCACTCACCCACTGAGGTCTCCCAAAGCCATGGACATACCTTCTTGTTGAGCTCAGTGCGGTGGTGGTAGCCCTTCTGCCCAGCCCGTGCAATGGAGCAGCCCACGCGGGCAGGGTGCCAGGCACCAATGCAGGCCACCTTGCGTAGCCCCTTGTGGGTCTTCCGAGGCAGTTTCTTGGTATGCCAGCGGCTTGTGACCCCTGCAGGTAGACAGGGCTGGTGGCTGAGAAGCCAGTATGGCCCCCACCAAGCAGCCTTTCCTGGAGACAACATCCCCTTTTGGCCCTACCTTTGACACCCCGGCCTTTGGTGACAGCAATGACATCGATGACCTCACTCTGGCTGAAAACACTGTGCACTGTCACCTGCTTCTCCAGCCGAGCCTGCGCCCAGGCCACCTTTTCAGCCACCGTGCCGCCGTTCAGCTGGATCTCCATGATATGGGCCTTCTTCTGCCGGAAGGGCAGCAGCTTCATCTGCAGGCATGGTGCAGCCTTCAGTTCCCAGAAAGGCACACTCCCTACCCACCTGCAGACAAGGCATGGCCAGCCAGGGACCCTAGGTCTTTCTGTGCCCGGCTATATGCTGTATGCTGTACACTGTGGGGACAGCATGGAATGAGGTCGAGTCTCACACCCAGGGAGCCACCATCTAGTTGGGAGACAGATAAGCCAAGTCAACTATTGGAGAGGGATAGGTGCTCGGATGGACTGACATACTTCAGGAGTTGTCAGGTAGGGCCTCTCTGTGGAGATCATATCAATAATCTTTCCATTAGGCAAAGATCTGAAAGTTTCTGGGGCAGAGAAAATATCATGGGCAAAGGCCCTATGGCAGGAACAAGAGTTGGTGGGACAGAAAGAAGGATGTGGCCAGAAGGTGGTAAACCGGGAGGGTGGCAGGTCCACACAAGTTGAATAGGAAGGAACTCAGCCTTTCTTCCAAGTGACGCAATTAGTCAGCAGCATCGGCTGATGCTTTGTGAGCCAGAGACTATGGGGACACACAGACCAGTTAAATCACAACATAGTGTTCAACAAATATTTGTAAAGCACCTACTGCATATGAGGCTCTGTGTGGGCCCTGGGGCCTGACAATGAATAAGGCAGGTGAGGCTCCTGCCCCATGGCCTCTGCCCGAAAGAGCTCAGGTCTGTTGATGGAGATGGGCATTAACCAACAACTCACCCATGAACTGTGGGTGTGAGAGTACCTGGGGAGAGCGCCTATTCAGTGGGCTGTGGGAGGCTCTGGAGTGGAAGGGCAACCTTTCTCAGGCCTAGAAGAAACTTCCTTGAAGGTAAAACACCAAGAACTATTCCAAAACAAGCCAGAGGGTGCTGGTTACCTGTCAGCCACCAAGCCAGAGCCCAGGGAAGAGCACTAATCACACACGAAGTGCCAGAACCCAGAGGGGGCAGCCAGCCCTCCTAATTGGACATTTGGTGGAACACTCAGGCCCTTCAGAGAAATTTGGGGCATGGCCAATGCCCCCACGGCCCCTGGGAGGGCACTGACAGTCAGTGCCCTAGCCCTGGCTGCAGGTGTCCAGCCAGGAAGTTGGGCAGCCCTTGGCCTTGTGCCTGAGACTCTGGGTATTTTTAGGCTGACATTTGTCACAGCTCCTCAAAGCTGGAGGGGAGTGGGGCCAGGGGTGAGCTCTGCTGGGTGGGGTGGGGCTGACCTGGGAGTGGACAATGACCCGAATGACTCTGCAGTACTTCTTCATGGCGGCAAAGTCCTTCTGGAGCTGTTTCTTGCCGTCAGTATCCCGCCATCTCTTGCAGGCCTTGGTGAAGGCTTTCTTCTTGCTTTTGTGCCTGAGCCCCATACAGGAGGTACTCAGAGGCTCCAGCCAGGGTGGCCCCCAGCAGTCCTGCCCCTACCCCACCTGCAGCTCCCCAAGTAGGAAATCTCTTCCCTGAAGCTCCTGCACTGGGTCCAGTTGGTCCGAATTTAACACAGGCTGTCCCCCCCCCCCCGCCTGGCTTTCCTCCTCTCCCTGTAAAGCGGGGTAACTCCCTGCCTCCCTGTGGTCCAGGCACCTGGACGCCACCCCAGCTGCCCCACTTCTGTGCTGCTGATCCCACTTCCAAATCAGGCACCATACCCCAGCCCTGGGCAGACATTACTTCTAACCCTCAGCAGAACTCTGGAAGGTGGAAATTATCATCCCTATTCTATAGAGGAAGAACCTTGGATTCACAGGAGTTAAAACTCTCAGATTAGGGCAAATTTTTACTGGAAACAGTGAGAACAGGACAAATAGCACTTTCTGGCCACTTGCTCTGTGCTAAGCACTGGGCACATTTCACTAGCCCTGAGCTCACAGCCACCCCACAACACAGGGACCACCCAGCCCCATCTTACAGCAGAGGAACTCAGAGGTCAGCCTCTCTGGTCCCACAGCCTGCACTGACCCTGGGGCCCAAGCTCATCATCTCCCACAGAGCTTCAGGGATGGCCGGTGCCTGTGTCTCTAAGTTCTGGTGCACAGGACCTAGTGCATGGAAGATCTGAGGCCTGAGAGTACCTTTCTACGCACAGGAGCTTCTGGATTGGCTGTATCTCTTTTCACCTTGGCTGCTCCGAAGCTCAGAGCAACTCTGATATTCCATCAAGTTAGCCCTGTAATTAACCCTGGGTATTATAATATTTGCTTCCTTGTTTTCCTCAATCCTGATTTCCTCTCCAGACCTTTAAGACATACTCATCCCTTACTGAAGTGAAGCACCTGCAGCTTCCTACCTTCTACTCGATGTTGACACCTCTCCTCTTAGCCACCCACCGTCACTGTTCCAGCACAGAGCTGGGTGTGGCCCTCACCAGTCCTTGTAGAAGCGGCGGCGGCACTCATCACTGAGGTGTTCTGCAAATATGGTCTTGAAGCTCCGCAGGCCTCGAGGGGTGGCCACGTAGCCTACCACACCCACCACAACCAGGGGTGGTGTCTCCACAATCGTCACTGCCTCCACTTCCTCCCGTTTGGAAATTTCTAGATGAGACCCAGGGACAGGATGATGAAGGAGACTTCCTGAGGCCCATGGGGAAGGGAGCAGAAGAGATGGCCACACAGGGTGGGCCAGGACAGCATGTAGCCAGTGGTTAGGGCAGCTTTCCTGCAAGGTGGGGTTGGGCCTTCTTATTTTTAATAATTTAAATGTATTTTTATAAGTTCCAGCAAGACCTAGAAAAATCCATGATCACACAGATACCACTGTCTAGGCTGCCGTGAAAAAAAAAAAAATATATATATATATATATGTTTTAAGAATATTTTAAAGGAAAGAAGGAATGGAGGGAGTGAGGAAGAGACCTGGGGGGGGGGGGGACATGCATTGGTATTAATGCCACCTAAAAAAATTAAGGTACTAAGTTTTGTATTATGCATACTTTGCCACAATAACAAATAAAAGAGGGCCAGGTGTGATAGCACACATGCCTGAAACCCCAGCAGCTCAGGAGGCTGGGGCAAGAGGACTACAAATTCAAGGCCAGCCTTAGCTAAGAATTTAGTGAGATTTTGTGTAAAATTTTTAAAAGATTAAAAAGGGCTGAGGATTTATCTCAGTGGTACGTTGCCCTGGGTCCAATCCCTAGTACAAAAATAAACAAATAAATACATAAATAAATAAGAAGGTGGGGGATGGAAAACAGATGGGTGTTGTCAGGAAGGGGCAGGAGGAATATGACTGCACAGGCCACCCAAGGATCCCTCAGGGGAGGATTAAGTGGTGGGTGCCCAAATTTACCCAGGGGACAAAAGTGCATACTGTGTACCTGTTTGAGTGTGCTAGCACATGCAGAACCAGAGAAACCTAGTTTGTGGGTGATCACGTCCATGTCAGTATGGTTACTTCTTACCACTGCCTGTGAATCTCTATTTATCTCAAAACAAAACAAAGAACAGTCGGGCGCAGTGGTGCGCGCCTGTAACCCTGGCACCTGGGGAGGCTGAGGCAGGAGGATCCTGAGTTCAAACCCAGCCGAAGCAACTCAGTGAGGCCCTAAGTGATTTAATGAGACTCTGTCTCAAAATAAGATACAAAAAGGGCTAGGGGCTGGGGATGTGGCTCAGCGGTAGAGCGCTCATCTAGCATGTGGGAGGTCCTGGGTTCGATCCTCAGCACCACATAAAAATAAATAAACAAAATAAATGTGTACAAATAAAAAAATAAATATTTTTTTTAAAAAATGGGCTAGAGTTGTGGCTCAGTAGTGAAGTGCCCCAAAGTTCAATTCCCAGTACAAAAAGGAAAAAAAAAAAAAAAAAAAGAACAAAGTATACATATACACAGCTATAGGAATATACTAAATAACAGTTGATAATATGGTCCACACATGGCCAAAAAAGTACAGCTGTCCTGGCATGGCCTTGAGTCCCAGTTCCTTCACCTCAAGAAAACTAATTGGACCAGCTTCTTTCTTTCTTTTTTTTTTTTTTTTTTTTTTGGGGGGGGGGTTACTGGGGATTGAACTCAGGAGCATTTAACCACTGAGTTACATCCCCAGCCCAGGCTGGCCTGGAGCTTGTGCTCCTCCTGCCTCTGCCTCCCAGGTCTCTGGGACTACAGCCTACGCCACTGTGCCAGGCTGGACCGGGTTCTAGCGGCTCAGTGCTTCAATACTCACTGTAACTGGAGTCAATGGCAGCACCCACCTGAGCACTGCCCGTGGCCAGGGCCTGATGAGGGGCAGCGTGAGCCCATCACAGTCCTGACCCTGCCTCCCTTCAGCAGGGCCTCATCTTTTCTGAGACTGTAGCCGCTCCTGGGCTGTAGGAGCAACCCCTGGCTCCCAGCCTCTGAAGGTTCCCCCTGACCCCCACCCCCACGCATCCCCTGAAGTGACTCACTGAGGCCTGGCCGGTGCACCTCACGCAGGGTGTGGGTCATGCCCGCCTTGTAGCCCAGGAAGGCAGTGAGGTGCACAGGCTGACTGGGGTCATCCCTTGGCCACGTCTTCACCCTGCCCCGGTGCCGCCGGCTCCTCTTATGGGGCAGGAAGCCCAGGTGTCCATGCCGAGGGGCAGAGAACTTCCGGTGGGACTAGGGGCAGCAGAGTGAAGGGTGGAGATTGAGGGATGGGGCCTCCACACCCTCATCTGCCCGCCCTGGTGGGCTCAGCCTGTTGGGATCCAGGAGGGTTGGGCAGCACTGAGGCAGAGTGCTCTGGGCACAGGAGGCTACTGCCATCTCCCATCTCTTGCCCCTTCTAGGCCCAGGAGCCCAGCCTTGGCCCCTTGCTGCCTTCTCAACTGCCCATCATTACAGCCCAGAGAACTCCATGCTTAGGGGAGATCTGGGGGACGCCCACCTGCCCCCCTCCCCAGGAAAGCCTGCTTATTCTTTGTTCAGGCTCCAGCCCCAGCCCACTGACCATGGTGGCCGATTCCGGAAGGCCAGGATGGGGCGTCCCCACCAGGCACCAGAGGTCGAGTGGCAAGGCCAGGACACGTAGCAACCAGATCCCATATTTAGCCCCTGGCACCAGCTCGGTCTTCCTCTGTGGCCAGCAGGGTCTCTTGTGCCAGGAGCAGACTGGGGCGGAGCATCAGACAGACAGCCTGTGATGGGGACACCTGGAGCCAGGGCTGGCACCCCATTCCTCCATGTCCTGGCACTGAGTCATGACGCTCCCAGGACAAGACCAACTTGGCTTGACAGGAACAACATACCTTAGTTGGGAGCTCCTCTAAGAAGAGCCTAGATTGTTGACAGTTTTTAGGTTTCCTGTCCTGAGGGCTATTAAGACTGAGCTGGACATAGGGGTGCGAGAGGTGGACAGGGAGGGTTGACCACATGCCCATCAAGATAGAGATTCCTTACCAGCTATCTGGGCATCCCTTAAACCAATCAAAAATGACACATAAAGTTAATCATGTAAACTAAGGCTGAGTACCACTTCCTTAGAGCTATATGGAAAATCCCTAATTCCTTGTGCATAAGAAGTATTTTAATATTTAAGTATTTAAATACTTTTCTGCCACCTCCTTTCTCCTTTCTTACACCATCTGAATCTTTTTTTTTAATATTTATTTTTCAGTTTTTGGCAGACACAACATCTTTGTTTGTATGTGGTGCTGAGGATTGAACCCAGGCCGCATGCATGCCAGGCAAGCGCACTACCGCTTGAGCCACATCCCCAGCCCCCATCTGAATCTTTTTGTTCCCTGGACAAATATCTATTGTCCCTTTCACCTTGAATAGAATGGTTCCACATGAATGTTCCCAAGAGCTTACAGACTTTAACATTATATTAAATAACATGGGGGGAAATACAGTTTTAGTCCTTATTCTCCAACTGATTAGTTTATTTCATAAGTTCTATTCATTTTTTTTTCATTATTTTAATGAGCAGTTTAGCTTTTATTTGTAGAATTGTAATTGATCCAAACAGCCAAAAACAGCATAGTAATTATTTACAAATTTTATTAAAATTTCAAACAAGTAATATTATATGTATTTTTAAATAAAATATGTCCATTAAAAAAAAAGATAAAGTTTCCTGCTGGGGGTGATGGTGCACACCTGTGATCCTAGGGAGGCTGAGGCAGGAGGATCATAAATTAGAGGCCAGCCTGGGTAACTGAGACCTTTTCTCAAAAATATGGAAAGGGCTGGGACATAGTTCAGTGGTACAGCACCTTGGGTACTGGGAAAAAAGAAAGTTTTGAATGAAAAGAGGTTGATATTTAAATAATTTCTTTTTTGAGGAGATTTTTTTTTTCCTTTTTGAGACAGGGTCCCACTATGCTGTCAAGTGATCCTCCAGCCTAACTCCTAAGTAGTTGGGACTACAGGTGTGTGCCATTGCACCTGGCTACCTTATTTTCCAATTTCAAGATTCTATGGTTATAAAGTTCTTCTGGGAATTGAACCCAGGGGTACCTTATCCCTGAGCTACATCCCCAGTCCTTTCTACTATTTATTATGAGATAGCATCTCACTAAGTTGATGAGATTGGCCTAGAACTTGCGATCCCCCTGCCTCAATCTCCCAAGTTGCTGGGATTTCAGGTATGCACACCACCATGCCTGGCTATCTTTATAAAGTTCTTTAACTGCAGAATCACAAAGTTCTCTAGGTGTAAAATGTCCCTAAGAGAATGTGAATTTTGCATCACTAGATGCCAATATTCTAGCATGCTACCAAAATACAGTCTTTGGGTCGGAATGTCTGTGTTTCTAAGAGTTCATAATCTGAAGATTTAACATTTCCAATTCTAGATTCTGTGGGTCCCTAGCTGCTGGCTCCATGTCCCTGGCCCCTGCCTCTGGACAGGAGATGACTAGCACCCTGCCTGGATAGCCAGCCAGGTGTGCACATTACATATAAGGCCATGGTGGCTCTGGTCAGTGGCTGCCACGGGGCACTACAGTGCTCAGAGCTGAGATGGAACCAGCTGCCATAGGCCAGAGTGCCCTGTGCCCATGATGGGAGCCCCAATCTCTATGGGTTGGGCTGGGGGACAACTCGTTCCTCCTGCTCTGCCCCAGGGAGGTCCCCAAACTCACTGTCAGCAGTCCATTCTTGAGGGACAAAGACAGCAGAGCCCAGAGAAGGTTGATAGGGACTGGGCAATCCAGAAAAGATTCCTGGAGGATCAAGACTTTTTATACTCTTTGTCGATTTCTTGACTTATTTGTTGTGTGTGTTCTACCAGTCGATGTTCTCCATAAAAGCCAGGTCGTGTTCACCTCGTTGCTAGCACCAAGTCTAGCCTGCAGTAGGTTCGGGAGGAATCATTTCTTTTGAGTTTGTTGCTCTCCGCCTGCCTCGGATGCGATGGCTCCAGACCCCACGTGGGGGCGCCCGCGGCCAACCACAGCATGTGGTGCTCACCCCGCGCAGGCGCAGTGGTCGCCCTGCGCGCAGGCGCAGCATCGTTCCACGGCGTCCCGCGCAGACGTATTTGCCCCGACGACCTCCGCAGGGTTATCTGTACCCGGCACCCAACTAGCGGAGTCCTGTGCGCCATGCCCGACACCTGGGACAAGGACGTGTACCCCGACCCCCCGCGCCGCACGCCGGCGCCCTCCCCGCAAACCTCGCTGCCCAACCCCATCACCTACTTCACGAAGGCCTTCGACCTCCTGGTGGACCGGCCCGTGACCCTCGTGAGAGGTACGAACTCGGGGTTCTGCCTGCTCGCGGGGACCCCGGTGCCCCACACCCGAGGTCCCCGAGCTCCGCCGCCTCCTTTGGCTTCCCCACTACTTCGCGGACCATTCTCCGGGACCTCCCCCGCCCCCGCCCCCCGGGTCGCTGCACCTTTCCCCGGGACGCCACTCCCTTGGCTGCGCCCTGTGCCTTCTATACGAGGACCCCTCTTTGCTCTCCGCCTCCGCCTCCGCCGCTTGAGAGGTTCCCTTAGTCTCTGGTCTCCGTCATAAACCGGGGTGTGTGTGTGGGGGGGTGCTTGCTCTCGCAATCAACTGAGTCCTTGGGCCTGTTATAGTCCCAGGCCCCTGCAATGCAAGTGACAACTGGTTGTAGTGTAATGGCTGAAATGCCCAAATTCGCCATCTCTGGTCCTAATTAGAAAATGTTCCATGCAACTCTTTGTGGTCCTGTTTGCCAGCCCTCTGATCAGCAGCAAGCGCTTGCTCTGCCTTGTTACAATTAAGCAGCTCATTCGTTCAACCATAAGACATTTGAGGTACATCGCATACTCAAGTGGTTTTTTTTTTTTTTTTTTTTTTTTTTTTTTCCCCTATATTACGGTCTTCCAAGTTCTGGGGATTACTGGTTTGGGGGTTATGTGTTTATTTGGCACTGGGGATTTAACCCAGGGGCATTTTACCACTGAGCCACATCCCCAGCCCGTTTTGAGACAGAGTCTTGCTAACTTGCATGGGGCCTCGCCGAGTTGATGAGGCTGGCTTTGAACTTGTGATCCTACTGCCTCCGCCTCCCAAGTCCCTGGGATTACAGGTGTGTACCACCACTCCCAGCAGGTTATTTATTTATTTAATTTTAAATTATATATATACATATTTTTTTAGTTGTAGTTGGAGAAGTACAATTTTTATGTGGTGCTGAGGATCGAACCCAGGGCCTTGCACGTGCTAGGCAAGTGCTCTAGGCTGAACCACAACCCCAGCCCCAGGTTATTTGTTTTTAAGGCAAAGAGGTCTTGCTATGTTGCCCAGCCTGGCCCTGAACTCCAGGACCCAAGCAATCCTCCTGTCTCAGCCTACCAAGTACATGGACTATAGACATGTCACTGGGTCTGGTATTCTTTGATTAGGGAGTATAGTATAGCAGATGAGTCAGGTCCCTCTTTCTTGCTGTCTTAGAAGTGGTTTGTTTTGGGGACTCAAGGACTGAACCCAGGGGCCCTTAAGAGACAAGGTTTCACTAAGCACCTGGTGTTTTTTATTCCTGGATGCATGAACTCTTTAGTCCTGCTGGTTAAAGCTACAAGTGGAAACTTTAGGCCTGGAGGTCATTGCAGGAGTTCTGTTGGTGCCTTCTTGCCTAGAGTGAGGTTCCTGGGCTGTGGGACAGGTGGACTTGTAGAACTGGGTTCTGAATCCTGCCTTGCTCAGTCTCATTGGTGAAGACAAAGGGTTGTTCTGGTCACAACCTGTGATGATGCAACTGGAGATATCACCACTTGTAGCCTAGTCCTTCTAACATTTAGGAAATACCTTCACCCATCTATCTAAACTGACAAGTAAATTATCTGGTTTCCTTTCTACAGAGTTTATAGAGCAGCAGCATGCCAAGAACAGGTATTATTACTACCACCGGCAATACCGCCGAGTGCCAGACATCACAGAGTGCAAGGAGAAGGATATCCTGTGCATTTTTGAGGCGGAAATGCAATGGAGAAGGGACTAGTAAGTGTATAGCAGGGAATGTTGAGAAAGTACGAGACCACTTCCTACTGTCCCATCATTTCCTGGGGATTCCTTGGGATGGCCTCATCCAGTGGGTGTATCTCTTGGGGTTGGCTCAGATTTTGAAGACAAGGCTTTCACTCAATCCTTTGGGTACTTGCTCCTTTTTAGCAAAGTTGATCAAGAAATTGTCAACATCATCCAGGAGAGGCTTAAGGCCTGTCAGCAGAGGGAAGGAGAGAGCTACAAGCAGAACTGTGCCATGGAATTGGAACAGTTTGCCCAGGTGGCCAAGGCCTACCAGGACCGCTGTAAGTTGAGCCCTGCCCACCCTTTTTTGCTTGTTTTTTCTTACCCAACCCATCCACCATCTCTTTCTCAGATCATGACCTGGGAGCCCATTATTCTGCCAGAAAGTGCCTGGCAAAGCAGAAGCAGAGAATGTTGGCAGAGAGAAAAGCTGCTAAGGAGGCTGCTGCCGCCTGAGGCCTCTTAACTAACCTGCTGCATTGCTGAAATAAAGTGATTTAACTCTACTTCTGGTGGTGTCATTAGCCCCTTCGAAATTCCAGCTACCAGTTTATATGGAAGACAGAACCATTTATTAATGGGTTTCATTCACTTTATTATTTTTGTATAAAAACCCTATGTTGTAGCCACGGCTGGAGCCTGGGTCCTCTGTACAGAGACTCTGGTATGGGTTTTCACAAGATGGTCAGTGAATTCCTACAAAGAAAAATCAACAGTTATGTAGTGGGAAACCATTCCCCTACAAAATTAAGGTGTTTCTGCCCCACCCAAAAAACCTGTTGATAAGGTGGGCCATGATGTAAGAACAGTAAAATCTCACTAGCTAGACCAGAAATACCTGATAAGGAGACTTGGTGAACACAGTCTCTTTCCAGAGATCAGGGGTCAAATAGCTGTATGTCTTGGAGATGGCATCAAAGGTGGCCTTGGCTTCAAAACAAACAACAGAAGAGGGTTAGTGGCTAATAGCAAAGAAGTCCTCCACCCCTACAGAAGCTGTTGCACTCCTAGGAACAGAGAGGCCACTTAGGGGCAGATCTGCCGTGCTTTAGGAGGGCCTTCCTCTCTCTCCCTTAAAATACGCCAAGCACACACTGCACCTGTGTGATTCAGCGGAGCTGAGAGAGGGTTCACTGCAGATTCCTTTGGGGGCCACCTACCAAAATTGCCCAAGGTGGCAGTGCAGCCCCTGGCAGAAGTGTAGCAGTCATCAATACCAGCCATCATCAGTAGCTTCTTGGGTACAGGAGCTGAGACAATGCCAGTACCTCTGGGGGCAGGGATGAGCCGTACCAGCACAGAACCACAACGTCCTGTCACCTAAGAAAAGCAGAATCAGGTAACAGGGCCAGAGGGAAAATATGCTCCACCCCAGGCCCATCAATAACCATCACAGCTTACCTTGCAAGGGACAGTGTGAGGCTTGCCAATCTTGTTCCCCCAATAGCCTCTCCGCACAGGAACGATGGAGAGCTTGGCCAGGATGATGGCCCCTCGGATAGCAGTTGCTACCTCCTTGGAGCATTTTACTCCCAGTCCAACGTGACCGTTGTAGTCACCAATAGCTACAAATGCCTGGGAAAAAACTATGTTAGGCGGCTCGTGATCCTCCACAACATCCATACACACTACCTAGTTCCTGTTGTGCCTCTCAAGGAAGAAAAGGCTACTGTGAGGCCAATCCAAGGTCCAGAGGGGCTCTTTCCTCTCTCTCCCCTGTACGAAAGTCACACGGGCAAAACTTAGTGTGACCATGCAGAGTGGGGAGAGTTTTGCCCAACCAGCCAAGTGCATGACAACTCTAATACCTTGAATCTGGTCCGCTGGCCAGCACGAGTCTGTTTCTGTACAGGCATGATCTTCAAAACCTCATCCTTGAGTGATGCCCCCAAGAAAAAGTCAATGATCTCAGACTCCTACAACAAAAGAATCGGTGTGCAAAAGTTGAGTGTTTAGCCCTTGATTCACCTAGATTCCAGGTCCGAGATGGCATCCTTTTCTATAAAAGCGAAGCCACCTCACCTCCGGCCATAACCCATGTCAAAGGTGGACACCCACACAAGCGCAACCACAGGCTCAAGGTGCAACTCTCCCAGCCCCTACCAAATTAAGCTCCGGGAGGCTGGTCGTTCAGCGCAATACCTTGATGGGCAAAGAGAAGAGATAGATCTCCTCCAGGGACTTGATCTTCATGTCCTTGACCAGGCGGCCCAGCTTGGTGACCGGGATCCACTGCGGGGAAGGTGCCAGTCAACAGGGATACCTTCTGGGCGTCGTCCCCGAACGCGCCCCGCCCGCCGCCCGGGCCTACCTCCTTGTCTTCGGCCTTGCCTCCACGAGCCCCGCGGCCACGGCCTCGGCCCCGTCCACGGCCTCGGCCGCGGCCTCGGAGACCGCTGCCGAAGCCTCCGCGGAAGCCGCCGCGGCCACCCATTCCGGGGCCCCCGGGACCTCCGGGACCTCCCGCTGCACCGGCGTCATCCGCCATTTGCTGCACCAAGAGACAAGAACCAGCCAATTAGCGGGGAGCTGCCTCTGTAGCAGCGTGGGAAATCCAGACACCGCGCATCGAGTCTGAAGATGCGATCGTGCGGGCTTGGCCCCGGCCATCCGATGTCCGCGGATCGCCAAGGCCCGCGCCGCATCCCGCCATAGTTAATAAAACTACTCACGTGTTTTTTCCAGAGAAGAAGAAAGAACCTGTCTCGGAAGGCGCTTTTATAGCAGGCCAAAAACCGCGAGATCTCGGGAGCCTCGCCCCGAGTGGCCCTAGCACCGCGAGGCGGCTACGATTGGCTCCGCGGCGCCCCGCCCTCGCCGCACTCTGCATGCGCCTGCGCATCAGCTCTTGCCGCAATCCGGGCATGCGCGGCGGGCGGCTGGGCGGACCGGTATAAACGCACGCGCCTCCGTCCCGCGGCCTTTAGCGGATGCCGGGAGCGTGTGCTTTCTTTCGTTTTGGTAGGTCCGATTTGCTCGCCTGTCCGCAGGTAGCCGAGAGACCGGCGTTGGTTGAAAATCACCCTCGGCGCTGGCGGTGGCCGTGGATGAGATTCGGCGCCCAGAGCCTCCAGGGGCCTCAGCTCGCCGCCCACTACCAGTGTGGAAAGGCGAAACCCAGGCCCCGACATCCCCGCTGCGGCTACTCGCGCGGTTATATCCGTGGCCAATCATCCCTGACCCCATCTTCTCTCTCCGCAGGACACGGATCTCCCGGAGAACTTGAGGCCGACGCCGCCAGGACCTTGGGGGGTCGTGGGAGAGATCGGTGGTCCCGCGTTTCAAATAAAGCTGTTTAACTCGGGATGTGTGGACGTTCTTGGGGTCTCCTACCTGCCGGAAAATCGAGCCCTAGTAGTGCGTTTCTTCCCGGGCTAGCCAAACTGCTTTCGGATATCACAAATGTAGGGCTTAGGCACGTGATTCTTAGGTGTCAGCCAGATTGGGACCCCTGGTCTGCCTGTGCAGTGGAGTGAATTTATCAATCCTTAACAGTGGTGCTCAACCTACATGAGCATGTATCTCTCTTCTCAGGCCTGCACAGATGATAAACACTGGAAGAGAACTAGCTGGTTCCCGGTGATTTAGTTCTCTCTGCTATGGAGAACCAATTGATCAACATCTGAAGACCCTAAGCTTTTGGAGTTCTCAGTGCCTGGGCAGCACCATCTGAGAAAGGTGCAGCTGTCCCTGTGATCCTACTGACCTTAGGGAAACAACTCTTAAAGAGTCTAGCTTCTCTGTGCAAACCTGCTCTGGGACCAGATGTCAGCCTTGACCAACATAGAGGGTCAGTGGGTGTCCACACCTGAGTTGGGGCTGCCCTAGTGTTTACATTCACTTTGGGCAGTACAGGGCTACTTGCTTTCCCAGCAGGCCCTGGACCAGAGTTGGTTTTGGGTTTTTTGTTTGTTTTATATATGTTTAGTTGTAGATGGACACAGTACTTTTATCTTACTTATTCATAATATGGTGCTGAGAATCAAACGCAGTGCCTCATATGCTAGGCAAGCGCTCTACCACTGAGCCACAGCCTCAGCTCTAGACCAGAGTTTTGATTGGCCTGAGCTGAACAATGCCACTGTGATGTCGGCCCACACCTGCTGTGAAATGGAGGCTCCCGAGCCCCGGGCATCAGTGGAGCTGCCTACCGTCCAGATACAGATCATGGTAAGCCTAAGGCCCTCATTTTTCCAGCCCTAAGATTTATGCCAAGCTATCAGGGATTGACCCCATTCCTCAATCAGAAATGCTGGGCAGTGGGTTACAGCCCCTACAAGGAATGAGGAAACCTCTAGGTCAAACTTAGAGCCATCTCTGCTTCTCCAGCTAGGGATTGGTGGTCCTGGGGAAACCTTGACCCTCATGGCTGTCTTCTACATGAAGAGAGTTCTCATGTGGCCTACCTACCCACCCAAACACTTGGGTATGTGGAGTGGGGGGGCCAGAACCTGGTGCCTGCCAGCTCTGATGCAGGTTTGACCTTTGCAGAGTGGCGGGTATGATCTCAACCTCTTTGCCAGCCCTCCCGACTGCAACTTCCTGTGCTCCGTCTGCCATGGGGTTCTCAAGAGGCCAGTAAGGTTGCCATGTAGCCACACCTTCTGCAAAAAGTGCATCCTCCGGTGGCTAGCCAGGTGCCACTGGGAACCCAAGGGACTGGGAGGGCAGGTGTGAAGCCACTCCTGTGGTCCAGAGCCCAGACTTAGTCCTAAGTCTGCTGAACACTGGGTTCCAATAGCCACAAGATGCTAAAATGTGTGGGTCTCCTAACCCTGTAGTGTTAACAGGTCCCAGCCTTGGGGACCCCCTTATACCTCCTCCAGCTTGAGAGACCATTTGGGTCACCCCTTGAAGATCTGTCCCTACGGTCATGTCACTCTGCTTCCTTCTCACCTCACACACACTTGCCTCCTTCCAGACAAAACACCTGTCCATGCTGCAGGAAAGAGGTGAAAAGGAAAAAGATGGTCCATGTGAATAAACTCCGGAAAACCATTGGCCGCCTAGAAGTCAAGGTAGCTCAAAGTACCCACTCCCATCACCCTTGGGTGGGGCAAAGCCAGGGCCAAGCATGCCATCTTCAAAGAAAACCAAGTGCAGCCCAGGCATCAGCAGACCTGGCTAAGTTTGAGTCATATACTACTTACCTGTGTGACCTTGGGCAATTTACTTAACTTTTCTGAGCCCTTGGAGCCTCAACTATAAAATGGGGATTCTAGAAAATTTTCAGTGAAGTGCCAGGTGTATGGGCTTAAGTCTCCAACCCCTGATTTTATAGATGAGGAAACCAAGGTTTTTTAAAAAAAAAAAAAATGCCCCGGGTTGGGAATGTAGCTCAGTATTAGAGTGCTTCCTCAGCATATGCGAAGCCTGGGTTCAAACCCCAGCACCACTACCACCCACACAAAACAAAAAGTGTGGCAAACATACCAGACTAACCCAGCTATACACGTCCCTGTTCAAGACTCGGGCCTCTAAACACCAAAGTTCTTCCCTCCTACCCATCTGTTCTGGAAGCAGAAAAGCTTGGGAGGTTCCTAGTCTCCTGGTTCTTGGTCAATGGTCAGATACCAAATGGGAGGAGAGGGTGGGGGCCAGGGAAGAGCCAGCTGGCAAATTCCCAGCCTGGCCTGGTCTGGCAGGGCCCAGCTAGGTTCGCTCACATGGAGGTTTCTCACACCCCCAGTGCAAGAACGCTGAGGCTGGCTGTTTGGTGACATGCCCCCTGGCCCATCGCAAGGGGCATCAGGACTCATGCCCCTTTGAGCTGATGGCCTGCCCCAACGAAGGCTGCTCTGCGCGAGTGCCACGTGGGGACCTGGCTGAGCACCAGCAGCACTGCCAGCAAGGTGGTGAGCAGCTTTGCCTCTTGGGCTGCGGGGCCACCTTGGGCCCAGCTGAACGTGCACGCCATAACTGCTACCGAGAACTACGCGAGGCCTGGAGCGAGCGCCAGGAGCGCAGCCGGACTCTGCTGCTAAGTCTGCTGCGGCGTGTGCGCCGGGTGCACCGCACCACCAACCTCATCCGCCGGCAACTGGCCCAGCTAGGCAACTTCCTGGAGGAGGATGACACCCTGCTCCTGGGCACTGTGCAGGAGGCTGAGGCCACCCCAGTGGGCAGTACTGACGCTGAGGTGTGGGGGTCACAGGGCCAGCGTGCCTTGTAAATACAAGGACAAATAAATGCTGAGCCCAGGCCGGGCCTATCTCACCGCCTCTGTGCCTGCTAGCCTCATACCCTGTGCCCATTCCCCAGGCCCCCTTGCTCTTCATTTGTCTATTTCTTTTCTCTCAATGTCTCTTCTCCCAATCTCAACTCCAGTTGCTTCCTATCAATTTGTTTTATCAGTTTTGTAGCCTGTAGCATGAATGGCTCAAAATCGTTAACTCAGTAAAAGCCAGTTCCTCAGTAGCTCAGGAGGACCTGCACCCTCTCTGCACTCCTGTCCTTTAAGAATATCCTCTGGGGTTGGAGATATAGCTCAGTGAACTAGCACCGGGAGGCCCTGGATTCAATCCCTAGCACCACAGTCTCCTGTGCAATGGCTCCCTTAGCCACACTGACCTCTGCACCCCTAAGCAGTGGCTGTCCCTCTGTCCGAAACACGATCTCCAAAAAACTGCTTTACTTCAATTGCTCCGGTGCCCCCTTCTCAATGAAGCCTTCTGCACTGCCCCCATTTAAAACTGCACTTATGGGGCTGGGGATGTGGCTCAAGCGGTAGCGCGCTCGCCTGGCATGAGTGCGGCCCGGGTTCGATCCTCAGCACCACATACCAACAAAGATGTTGTGTCCGCCGATAACTAAAAAAATAAAATAAATATTAAAATTCTCTCTCTCTCTCTCTTAAAAAAAATAAATAAATAAAACTGCACTTATGCCCTCTGCCTAATCCCTTGCTAACCTACATTTGCAAAACCCTAGCCTTTAAACTGGTGTAATTATCCCCTTCTTCCCAGACCAGCTCTTGCCCCCACTGCTGCCCACTGGAGAGCTACTCCAGGGCAGGAAATTTTTATTCCTGGGGTCTCCAAGGGCCTAAGGCAGTGTTTTGCATACAGAAGGTACTCATAAATTATATTTGAATGTCTCTGGAATTACCCAATTAGTGCGTTTATCCGAAGCACTTATATGGATTGAGCCCACCGTGCAGAAACTGGCTCTTGGCTCTGGCTCTATCCAAAAAAAGGGGAGGAAACACTTTCAAATGCCTGCCCCACTCGCTAAGTTGCTCAGGCTGGTCTCCAACTTGCGATCCTCCTGCCTCTGCCTCTGCCTCTGCCTCTGCCTGAGTCGCTGAGATTACAAGCATGTGCCACCACGCCCACGCCATGGAAGTTTCTTAGTCCTCAATACCAAAAAATAAACTTCCATAAATAGGCAACGTCACGGGCAACCGGAGCACACTACCTATTTCCTTTGCCAGGGTTGCGCCCCTCCACACCCCACCCTTTAGACCGGAAATTCGCCGGCTCCGGCTTCCGTTTCCGGACGCAGCAGCAGCAGCTGCTGCCCACGGCAAAGATGGCATCTGGTGCGCTGTGCTGATGGCGTCACAGTAGTCGCGGACGGTGACACCATCAGCAGCGCGACGGGAGTGAGGAGTGGCGCGCCGGTCTCCCTCACGCGGCGGCGGCGGGTCCTGGCGGCAGGGACGGCGGCGACATGGCTGAGGCCGCGTCTGGAGTGAGCCGCTTCAAGGCGAAGTAAGCCCAGCGCGGGAGACGGGTTCGCTGCCGGAGTAACGGAAGCGACCGCGGCGGGCCGAGCGCGCATTCGGGTCGGAGAGGCACCCTGCCTGTGGAGTCGCGGGCCAGGCTGCGGTGGTAGCAGCAGGACGGTCGGCACCGCCTGCCATGGGGAAGGGCGGCAGACCCGGCGCAGCGAGCGTCGGGTATCTAAAGAGGAGCCAGTTTCAGGGGCGTGGAGTGGGGACGAGGCGCCCCGCGGGGAAGGGGCGAGCTGAGCGCCTGTCGGCGCAGGGCCGGGTGGTCACGGGAGACGGGAACCACCTGTGGTCCGGCTTCTCCCCGGAGCCGGAAGACAGGAGGTGGGTGGGCCGCGGTGCCAGGGTCCCTGAGTCCGGTTCTCATTCAGTTCCCGTGACACACAGCTTCATGGCACAGATCATTTCCATCCGTGCCTCAGGGGATTGAGTTGTGACAAGCACCAGCAAAGGAAAGGTTGTGCTGGCAGCACTTCTGTTGGGGGATATCTGGGTTCAGAGAATAGGATTGGTTCCATCTTGTCAAGCTGGCTTCCCAGAAGGGAATTTAGCTGCGTGTTGGAATCTGGGGGAACCCTGGTCATATGCAAGAAGCAGAGGACCTGTCCCAAGGTCTGGGCCAGGAGAATGAGGCGGCAGTGTGGACTGTGAGAGGAAAAGTTTGCAGGAGCAAGGTTTGGAAACATGTAAAGAAAAAGAAGGTTTTAAGTAGGGCTGTGACATAATCGGTTGTTCTAAAAAATAACTGGTATCACCAGACACAGTGGTAGACTTGGAAGGCTGAGACAGGAGGATTGGAAGTTTGAGGCCAGCTTCAGCAACTTATCAAGGTTCTGAGCAACTTAGTGAGACCCTGTCTCAAAAATAAAAAGTGGTGGACTCTGGGTTCAATCCCCAATACCAAAAATGATGATGATGATGATGATGATGATGACAACAACAACAACTGGCATCAGGGCATGGTGGCCACCAATTCAGGAGGCTGAAGCAGGAGGATCACAAGTAACTCAGGGAGACCCTGTCTCAATAAAAAGGCTGGGGATGTAGCTTAGTGGTAGAGTGCCCCTGGGATCAGTTCTCCCAGTGCTACAGGGATGGGAGAATAACTGGCAGCATGATTGAGAGAGTAGGTAGGGTGCCCAGAAAAGAGACTGGAACTGCTATCCAGGGGAGACTGCAATACCCTGGACCAGGGTGGAGGCCATAGAGAGGGAAAGAAGAAGACAGCATGAGCGAGGTCACAGAAGTGATACCTGCCTGGAGAGTGAGATCAGGTGAGGCTGGGCCTACAGGAGGGATCCAGGATGGAGAAGGGGTGTGCTGAACTTCAGGAGTGAAGACTGGAGAGGTGGCACCCTAGGTCCTACAACCCACAGGGGACCCCCAAGGCCCCTACTTAGGAGACTGGGCTGCCTGGCTGCATTCACCTGAGTCAGGCCCACCTCTCCATGCTGCAGGACCCCACATGGATCACTAATCAGCGCTGGGTCTCAACCTGTCTGTAACACAGGGGTAGGAACACCCACCCACAGAAAGATGCCCAGGAGTTCCACAAGGGAAGGGGTTTGGGACAGCACCCAGCACAGGGCTAGGCACTGGGGACTAAGGGGGTGGCAGTTCTTTACTCACCTGGTTCTCTTTCCAGCTATGCTATTGAGCGCAAGATGGAACCTTTCTACAAGGGCGGGAAAGTACAGGTACCAGCTCCAGGGACAGGTGGGGTGGTGGATGGGGCAGGCAGCAGGTGCCCAGCATTGCCTTGATTGAGACCCCTGTGTCCAGCTGGACCAGCCTGGCCAGCACCTCTTCTGCGTCTGTGGTACCAGAGTCAACATCCTGGATGTGGCCTCAGGGGCTGTACTAAGGAGCCTGGAGCAGGTAAGGGCAGGTAAACAGGTGGGAGGGGGAGGTAGAAGGGGCAACCCTGTCTCATGGTGCTGTGTGCTCTTGTGCTTTCCCTCAGGAGGACCAAGAAGACATCACTGCCTTTGACCTCAGCCCGGATGATGAGGCACGTGGGGCAGGGGTGGGAAGTGAGCTCTGTGGCCTCCCTCCCACATTGCACGTGGACAGAAAGCTCACCTGCCAGCTGAACTGCACATTCCCCAGGTGCTGGTGACAGCCAGCCGGGCACTGCTGCTGGCTCAGTGGGCCTGGCGAGAGGGCAGCATTACCCGCCTATGGAAGGCAGTACACACTGCTCCTGTGGCAACCATGGCCTTTGATCCCACCTCCACACTGCTAGCCACAGGTAGGGCCTCAGCTGGGCAGGTGGGCCAGAGGGCGCAGGGCAGGGCCTTTGGACACACCAGCTCCCTTACTTCAAATGTTCCTGCAGGTGGTTGCGATGGGGCTGTGCGTGTCTGGGATGTCGTACGGCACTATGGGACACACCACCTTCGGGGCTCTCCTGGAGTTGTGCAGTGAGTTGGGGCAGTGGAGAGTGGGTGGACAGAGGCACCACCTTTGGGCAGCACAACTCACCCATCCCCCACCTGCCTGCAGTTTGGTGGCCTTCCACCCGGATCCCACTCGCCTGCTGCTCTTCTCCTCAGCCGCAGACGCTGCCATCCGCGTGTGGTCACTGCAGGACCGCTCGTGCCTGGCTGTGCTAACTGCCCACTATAGTGCTGTCACCTCACTGACCTTTAGTGCTGATGGCCATACCATGCTCAGGTCAGTGGCAGACCATGCAAGCCCTGGGAGGAAGTGAGGGCTCAAGACAGTGGGAACTGAGAATGGACTCTGGAACTAAAGGGGCTTTCTCTCCACAGCTCTGGACGTGACAAGATCTGCATTCTCTGGGACCTTCACAGCTGCAAGGCCACAAGGACTGTGCCAGTGTTTGAGGTGGGGGCACCTGTAGAGAGGGCCAGTGAGTTGGACAGGGGATTGATGGGGGAATGGCAGCAGTCTTTGACCCAGCTCATCCCCAGAGTGTGGAGGCTGCTGTGCTGTTGCCTGAGGAGCCAGTTCCTACACTGGGTATGAAGAATTCAGGCCTGCATTTCCTGACTGCTGGTGACCAAGGTGTGTGGGGCTGGCCACAGGCTGACCACAAGAGCTAGGGGAGGCCTGCAAGACTGATAGCAGCCCCTCTCCCACTGCACAGGCACGCTGCGCGTGTGGGAGGCAGCTTCTGGGCAGTGTGTATACACCCAACCACAGCTGCCAGGCCCTGGGCAGGAACTGACCCACTGTGCCCTGGCCCGCACTGCTGGCCTACTCCTCAGTGTCACTGCCGACCACAACCTACTACTCTATGAGGCACAGTCCCTGCAGCTGCAGAAGCAGGTGAGTGCCTGTCCCTGGAGCCCAGGGCTGGAGACACCAAGCAGCTCTCCACTCCACACAAGTCCCAGCTTACGTTCTTGCCTCCCACAGTTTGCTGGCTACAGCGAGGAGGTATTGGATGTCCGGTTCCTTGGGCCCAAGGACTCCCACATTGTTGTGGCTTCCAATAGCCCTTGCCTAAAAGTATTTGAGCTGCAGACATCAGCCTGCCAGATCCTCCATGGCCACACAGGCAAGTGGAGCTCATGATACTGGGTTTGATTGCCTCCTCACCCTACTGCCTTTTTGCCATATTGACTTCTGACCACTCTTCCCATCAGACATTGTCCTGGCCCTGGATGTTTTCCGGAAGGGGTGGCTCTTTGCCAGCTGTGCCAAGGTAAGGCCTCCTGAAATGTGGAGGTGCAGGGGAAGCCAAAGCAATAGGACCACGGCCCAGCTTCTTTCCTCAACTCTTCCCATCCCAGGATCAAAGTGTCCGAGTCTGGAGGATGAACAAAGCTGGCCAGGTGGCCTGTGTGGCCCAGGGCTCTGGGCACACACACAGTGTGGGCACCATCTGCTGCTCCAGGTAGTGGGACAGGGCTGGATCCAGGAATATTAGAGGAGATGGAGGCTCAGGCCTACTAATGGGGTTCCATTTCAGGGAGGGGAAGGTGGTGGCTTTGACCTTACTCTGAGATTCTAGGCCACAAGTGGAATAGAGATCAGGTCCAGAGAACCCCAGGTTGTTATGGGCAGGGAATCCTCAGTAGTAGTCTTGGGACAAAGTGGACCAAGGAGGGAGTGAGTGGAGAATGAATGAACGAGGTTCAGGTGGAGAAAGGGATCCAGCATTTAAGACTGGGGTCCATTTGCAAGGGGTGGACTAGAGGTATTTGGGGCAATGCCCTGGGACCACCTCTACTCTGGGCCTTGGTGTGGCAGGCCAGACCTGTGGTGTGCTGGCAGACAGTGCTGTCCAGCCTTAGGTGTCTCTCCTCTCCCCTGCTGGGCTCTAGGCTGAAGGAATCCTTCCTAGTGACAGGCAGCCAGGACTGTACCGTGAAGTTGTGGCCCCTCCCAGAAGCTCTGCTATCCAAGAGCACTGCCCCAGATGGTAGCTCCATCATCCTGCAGGCCCAGGCCACCCAGCGCTGCCATGACAAGGTGACCACATTGGACCCTGGGTGGAGACATGATTGAACCCTTGCTATGGTAGAGGTCTGAGCTGCTGCCATCTGCTCTTTCACCAGGACATCAACAGCGTGGCTGTCGCCCCCAATGACAAGCTGCTGGCCACAGGCTCTCAGGACCGCACAGCCAAGCTGTGGGCTCTGCCACAGTGCCAGCTACTGGGTGTATTCTCTGGCCACCGGCGTGGCCTCTGGTGTGTCCAGTTCTCACCCATGGACCAGGTGCTGGCCACAGCCTCAGCTGATGGCACCATCAAGCTCTGGGCATTGCAGGATTTTAGCTGTCTCAAGGTAAGCAGCGTCCCCTGGCCTGTTCCCTCCCATCTGTTGCAACCTCACATCCTCCCCACACCTCCCCACAGACATTTGAGGGGCATGATGCTTCAGTACTGAAGGTAGCCTTTGTGAGCCGTGGCACACAGCTGCTATCTAGGTGAGACACTGGGCACAGGTGGGGTGGGGCAGGGTGGTAGGCAGGCCCCTACAGTCAGCCCTTCCCAATCCCAAACCCAGTGGTTCTGATGGGCTTGTGAAGCTTTGGACCATCAAGAATAACGAGTGTGTGCGGACACTGGATGCCCATGAAGACAAGGTCTGGGGGTTGCACTGCAGCCAGCTGGATGACCGCGCCCTCACTGGGGCCAGCGACTCCTGTGTCATTCTGTGGAAGGTTGTGGGCCCTGAGGGGCAAGGGTGGGCTGGGGGCCATCTTGGGGGCTTGTCTGACCCTCATATGATCCCAGGATGTGACTGAGGCAGAACAGGCGGAGGAGCAAGCCAAGCGGGAGGAACACGTGGTTAAGTAAGTGGGGACCCAGTCCCAGCACCCCTGCTCTGTGGCACAGGGAAACAGGCTAGGTGGGTTCACTCCAGTGGGAACTCAGTCAGGCCCATGCCTATTGACTCCACCTTCAGCCCCAGCCAAGGTCCCTGAGTGGCCCTGTCCTTCCCTCCACCATCAGGCAGCAAGAGCTGGACAACCTGCTCCATGAGAAGCGGTATCTGCGGGCTCTAGGCCTGGCCATCTCCCTGGATCGGCCCCATACTGTGCTAACTGTTATCCAGGGTCAGTACCTGCTGCTCCAAGGGCAGGGGGCAGGAAATGGGACTTCAATGACTATTGATTCCCTTTCTGGAACTTGAGTGTCCTCCTCCCATAGCCATCCGCAGAGACCCTGAGGCCTGTGAGAAGTTGGAAGCCACCATGCTGAGATTGAGGCGAGACCAGAAAGGTCCTGAGCAGGCAGGAAAGGGCCAGTTGGGGGTGGCCTGCTGGGCAGTGGCAGGAGCAGGGCAGGGTGGAATGGCTTGGGAGGCAGAGTGTGACTATCCCTGATGCCCACAGAGGCCCTGCTGCGCTTCTGTGTCACCTGGAACACCAACTCCCGGCACTGCCATGAAGCCCAGGCTGTGTTGGGTGTGCTACTGCAACACGAACCCCCTGAAGAGCTGCTGTCCTACCAGGGTGTGCGTGCTGCACTGGAGGCCCTACTGCCCTACACTGGTATGTGGGCATGGCCAGGGCCAGGAGCGGTCTTGTGGGTGCCTGGACCTTCTGACCTCCTTCTGTCCTCCCCAGAACGGCACTTTCAGAGGCTTAGCCGGACTCTGCAGGCAGCCACCTTCTTGGACTTCCTGTGGCACAACATGAAGCTATCCCCTCTCTCTGCTACCCCCACAGCCCTCTGAGACACATAAAGATGTACTTTTCTATCCTGCGTGTGGATCTGAGTTGCCAAGGTCCCTGGTGATGCACTTTAGCCCCTGATGGTCTCAACCCATGAGCCAGATCCTCTACTGCCTCAGCAAAGAGAGACTGGATTGAGACATTCAGAAGTTTTTACTCAAAGGAAATGGGAAAGTGGACCCTCTTGACCTGCCAGATTGGGAGTCCCACCCTTACTTATCCAGTGCTGGGGAACTACTGTCAGCCACTCTTTGGGTCGGGATCATCGTACATTGCAAGTCTCCTGGCAGGGTCATATACACACTCATGGAGGGCCCAGGGGTCCTGGAGCCCTCCCCAGTGCCCTGCGGGTAATGGTACAGCAGCGGCTCTGGATGGCACTCAATGGCGGGCGGGTGGGCACAGCAGGGGGAGTAGTAGTGGCCTCCTCTGCCGTGTCCTCACCAAGTATCCCTGTCCCACTCAGGAGTGAACCCAGCCCTTCAGGCTGCAGCAGCACTGCTGGGAGCAGACCGGTCTTGCCACTATATCTGTGAAGGAAGACAGGGTTTGGTCAGGGAGTGGGGTGTCCCTGCTACTCTGGGCCCACCAAAGTCTTTCCCCTGCACACCTGCAGAGCCACCAGCCACGGTCTGAAGTTTGTAGCACACAAACTCGTGCCCCCACAGGCACTGAGAGCTCATCATCACGGCTGCCTTCATAGGCACGGGAAGCACAGAACTGGGTCCCTGGGGATGAGTGTTATTTATGGGTCACTGAAGCTGCAGCAATCAGAGTCCTACCTTGCTGTGGGCACCAGGCACTCTCTGGGCCCTTGCCACACATGGTCCATCATTGGTGGGTCTGGGGGAAGAGAATTGGGCTCATACCAATGGTTCCCAGGGTCAGGCCTGCCTCTTTGTCCTGGCTTAGGGCCACCTCCTCCAGGTAGGGAGCTGGAAACCAGGCTGTCTGTAGGTCCTCATTTTCCACCAGCCACCAACCTGTATGAGAGTTGAGGGAGGGGATCAGATCCTAATGTCCACTCAGATTCAGAAGGCCACGGGTTCCTGTTGGCCCTACCTGAGGGGTGTCGCAGCAGCACATCCAGGCTTTCCTGGGCCCCTGCAAGGAAAGGCCTGCCCTGTGTATCCTGGGTGCGAAAGGGCTGCAGGCAGCGAAGCCTCTGAGCCTCCAGGTTGTGGATGGCAAGACTGTCGGTGGGTTGTGATAAAGGCTCCTCTGGGGCAGGCAGGATCACCAGGCTGAAAAGGGTAGCCCAAAGGTTGAGTGGTGGGAATGGGCCTGACACCCTAACCAGTCAACACAGCCTCCAGGCCTGCCTCTTCAAGGACTTGCCAACATGGGTGGGCGGGGGGCGGCATAGGTTAGGCACCTTCCAGGAGGCAGCACGGGCTCCAGGTCCAGGGGTCGCGGTGCAAAGAAGTTGGTGAGTGCCAGGCTCCTAGATACCCGCTCAGCAGTGGCCAACAGCGCTTGTGCATAGGTATCCAGCAGCCGCAGGCGTGCTAGGCCGCGGCCCGTGCGCCCCCCTCGCACTAGCAGTGGTGTGTCTGTGGGCACAAGAAATATGGGCTGTGGTGTCCCGTCCTGCGCCAGGCTCTGCCTTCCCCGCTCCCCTGGGACCCTTGTGGCCTGACCAGGAAGCCTAGGAAGAATTCGGTCAGATCTCCGCAGCAGGCCCGCCTCCACCGGAAAGGTGTCCTTGAGGGTCTTCTGCAGGGAAGAGGGAGACATGAGACTACCAGAGCACAGTCCTTGGTAAGTTGGGGGTCCCTCTCGGGGATCACAGGGCTGGAAGCCCAAAACGAGCAGGAACGGTCTCTGGTGGTTGCCTGGAGGCCTCGTTCCCAGGTCACCTACTTGGAGCTGTCTGAACTCGCCCCAGCTCCTGCGCACAAAGGTGTTGCTGCCGTCAGACCAGCGAAGGGAAAACGCGAACGTCTGGGGAGGAAAGGTGGGTACCTCGGAGGCTGGACCTGACACCCCCATCTTCTCCTCCCCCTTAGGACTAGTGGAGACCCAATGCGGTACCTGGAGCCGCTGCACCTGCACCAGAGCCACCGCGCGCACAGACAACGGGTGCCGAGGGCTAGCCATTACTGGCTCGCCTGGCGTGATTCCGGAGTGTCTAGAGCAGGGGAGGATCGCGCCGCCTACCTGACCTTCAGGGGGCTCCAGCAGCCGGAAGATTGGCTTGAGGGGAATTCCCGCAGGTGCTCTCAGCCAGGTGGCAGAGGTGCCACGCCTCTCCCCAGGTCTTTCCGCTTTCCCGGCTGTCTCCCAAGCCCAAGGCGGAAGGAGGGTGGCCGGGGGAGGGGACAAAACCTGAAAAAGGGCATTGGAGGGGCTAGGACCGCCACCTGGCACCCTCCCTCCTGAGTCTGACTCATCAAAGTGCCGCCTCCCCTGGCCCACTCGGCCTCTCCCCTCCCAGGGTGTACCCAATAGCCCTCTCTTTGAGTCACCTGTGGAGCTCTGCAGTTGTAGTCTGGAACCAAGGACCCGGTGCTTAGGGCTTCAAGTGCATTCTCTGGCTTAATTTTAATGTGGGAGAAGGAAGGGTCTCCATGTTCCCAAGTCAGAAGAGGAAACTTAAGATAAATGGATAATTACTATGAGTTTCTCTGAATAGGTTTAGGGAGGGACAGACCTCATAAGCCAAAGCCCAGGGGTTCTCTTACAGTGGGGAGACTTGGGGCAAGATAAAGAAAGTCCATCTTTTGGTGACTTCACTTGAGTGTTGGGGAAGTGGTCACCAGGACTGTTTTGAGAGCCATCTCTGAATCCATGTCAACAACTTACTGTAAATATCATCTCTGTCATCAGGCCTATTTCCCTATCAGCTGGGGTGGAGGAAGCCCTATAATCCCTGGACAGAGGGCTCACCCAGGAACCTCACCTCTCTGGGCTGCTTCCTTATTGTGGAGATTTCCGGAGCCTGACCCACTCTGAAGCACAGAGGTTCTTCCTGGTGCTGGCATCAGGATTCCCCTACTCCAGGCCCTCCAGAGATTTAGTTTCTGGGTTATCCCTCTATGAAACTATTTTGGCCTCAATAAAGGGTCTTTGTGTGTCCATTCCACTAGGGCTCTTTTTGAACCCCTGGAAACTTCCCTAGTCTTAGCCCAGGCAATGAATATATGACAGTGGCAGAGTGCCTTGAGCTTGGCTGTCACCCTCCCTTCAACCTCAGCTGAGGGCATGCTGGCATGGTGGGGTCCAGGGTAGGATAACTCCTGCTCCCCTGTGTAGGAATCCAGCTTGACATGACTACTGCCATCTTGGTCATTAACTCCATCTTTCCTCCCCCACAACACTGTCATATATTCCAAATCCTACAGGATTAATGAAATCATTAAAATGGACAAAACTGGGCATGGTGGCACACATCCGTAATCCCATCTTTGGGATTATAATTCAAGGCCAGCCTGGGTAACTTAATGAGATCCTATCTCAAAAAAAATTTAAAAGCCTGTGGATGTAGCTCAGTGATAAGAGTGGCTCTGGGTTCAATCCCCAGCACCAGGAAAAAAACAGTCTGTTTCCTGCCAGGCACTTAGGCCTGGACTATCTCTTAAATGCTTGAAAATTTTTGAGACAGCCCAGATACATTCAAGTTGGACTTGGGTTATCTTTGCTGTCTTGGATATTAAACCCTTTCCTTTGTCTGAGGATACGGGAATCCTCCTGTCTTGCTTTTTCTGTCAGTCCCTAACAAACTTCACTTTGTGAAATCCTGGATTTGTCTCTCTCCCATCCAAGAACTAAGCAGGCCTGACCCCACTTACCTTCCTGTGGAGAGCCATTCTCACACGTGACTGGGCAACTCCTGGTTTGGGTCTGAGGCACTCTGGCTAATCTGTGTCGGAGCTTTCCCGGCCCTCTCCTGATGAGAGAACCCGTCCGTGTGGGGGTGTGACTGACCACTGACCCCGGGGGCCAATCAGTGACCCTGAGCTTGGAGTGCGGCCCCCCTCAACCTTCATTGGATGGAATTCTCCCCTGAATTTCTTGTTCCCCAATAAAAGGCTACTCCCTGGCGTGCTCGCTCTCTCTCTCCTGCTAGCCCTGAGTAATCCTTGCTGCCCTACAGGTGGTTCGAGGTTGGAGCCAGAGAGGGGAGCCGTCTCGGACCTGGTCATAGAAAAAGGTAACTGAGTCTGTGTGTTTTATTTCGATCTCGCTAGTTAACTTTTATGCCAAGAACCTCATTAATGAAACCAATGCGCTGGCCGCATGGTGGAACCTTCCTAGATTGGAGATCAGGTACATTCATGGTGGTTGGCCATAGATTTGTCTGCTTCTTTCTTCAGTCTCAGCACTCTGTCTTTAGTAACCAGATTTTTCAAAAACATCCTGGAACACAACAGAGAAGCTGGGGAAGTGTGGCGTATTCACAGCCATTGACCTTGAGGGATTCTGAGGCCCTCCTTCTGCACACTCCCACCAACTTTGGACCCTCTCCCCTTTTTCTTCCCTATAGCGCCTACCTTCTCTCATTTGGATAACTACAAAATCTCCCATCACTGTGGATGGCAAGGGGTCCATCACCTCTAAGAAATCCATTCTGCACTGGGCATCATAGCTCATGCCTATAATCACAGCAACTCATGAGACTGAGGCAGAGGAACTGAAGTTCTAGTCCAGCAAGGGCAACGTAGTGAGACCTTGTCTAAAAATAAAAAAGGGCTGGGGATGCAGCTCAATAGCATAGTGCCCTTCAATCCTGCAAGACATTGTAAAATAAAAAGGGGCTGATGGTGATGTGATGTAGCCCAGTGATAGAGGACTCTAGGTTCAATCCCCAGGACCACCAAAAAAAAAAGGATGACGAGGAAAAGGAGGAAGGAAATCCAATCTTTGTCAAACAGACATGAGTTCAGATCAAAGTGCCCTGCGCGGAATCATCCAGCACCTTCCCACTGGTTTTTAAAATAAGTCTCAATTCCACTACAACCAACAAGAAACCTGGTTGACCCTGGCCCACCAGCAGATTTCCTTCAACCTCCTCCTCCCTAGAGGCCCATTCTGCTGGCCTTTCTTCTGCAAAATGCCAAAATCCCAGGCTTGTCCTCCAAGGGGCTGCTCAGCTAATTTCTCACTGGTCAGGCCTCTGCCTAAGGGTCCCCACCTCAGGGAGGTTTTCCATATTTCCCACACAACATGCATGGCCCACCACACAGTTTCAAGTGAACATTTATTGGTGTGACCTCTTTGAGTTTTTCCTGTCTTGGTCACTAAACTGTAAGCCAAGAAGGTTAGGAACAGCACCTTGTTCTGGATCCTGCTGGCTCCTGGATCAGTGCTTGGGATAGAGTAGGTATTGCAGATACTTGTGGAATGAACAAATGAACGCATGGAGATAAGGGAATATCCGAGGCCACTGCCAAGTTGTTTTAACAATCCCTCTTGCAAGCCCTGCGCCGTGATGAACTCCTGAAATTTCGGGAGGATCGCAGGCTCGAGGCTGGCTTGGCCAATCTATGGAGACCCTGTCACTAAATGAAAAGGGCAGGGGTACAGCTCAGCGCTGGCGTGCAGGAGGGCCTGTGTTCAATATCCAGTACAGCAAAACAAAGCAACCTTTAACCAGGCCGTAGGATGCGGAGGACAGTAGGCAGGCGCTTCCGGACCCGCGGCCGCGGCCCAACACCGCGTGGCCGGTGGCCGAGGCCCGGGCCCTAGCGCGCCACCTCTGTGCGGTCACGCCCCGCCACGCGTTGCCCGGCGCCAGGCCCGGCGGATGGGCGCCCCGCTCGGCCGAGGGCACAGAGCCTGGCCGCAGGCACGCGGGACGGTCCGAGCGAAGCGATGGGGGCGACGCGGGCCGCATCCCGGACCTCGCCTGGGCCCCAGCCCGAAAGCTCAACGCGGCCGCGGCGCGGCTTCCACACTACACTGCTCTTCTACTGGAGGAAGCGCGAGCGCCGCCACGGAAGGCGCACGCCAGTCCCGGGCCGGGGAGGGAGGCCCAAGGGCGCCAGCAGAGCGCGGACGCCCAGCCCCGCCCGGCCCTCCGCCGCCGCTCCCTCCCGCGCGGGGCCCGCAGGCTCCGCGGCGCCCTGCACCTGCCCCCCTCCCCCCGCCCCCGCCACCTCCCCGAGCCCCGCCCCCAGCTCCTGCGGGCGCGCGCTGGCCTGGAGGCCGAATTGGAGGCCCATCTGGAGGCCGGGCTGGCCCGGCAGGCTGTGCGCAGGCAAGATGGCGGCCCCCGGGGAACAGGCGCGCTTCTGCCGCGGCAGCCTCTTCTCCTTCCTGCCCGGCGGCGCGCGCTCCGAGGTGACTGACGACCTGGCGACCGACGCGCGGGGCCGCGGCGCGGGGCGCAGAGACGCCGCCGCCTCGGCCCCAGCGCCGGCCGCGGCGCCCAACCCGGAGTCGCAGGACGCGGAGGGCGCTTCGCGGAGGCAGCCGTGCCGGGCCTGCGTGGACTTCAAGACGTGGATGCGGACGCAGCAGAAGGTGCAGATGCCCCGCGCGACCTCCCAGCCCTGGCCTTTGGGGCCCACACCTTGTTCTCGGGTGCCTCTGCCAGACCTCGAGGGCCCAGGGCCCGCGGCGTGGCTGTGCCCAAACTTTGCCCCCATCCCCAGGTAGACCTGAACTTTGAGCTGTCAGCAGCAGGAGGGCCGAATCAGCTGCAGGGCTTCTGTCTGGAGTCTGGGCTGCTGGCTGGGGCTGAAAAGGAGGCAGCTAATTTCTTTATTTTGCGTTGCTGGGTTAAGAACCCAGGGCCTTGCGCATGCTCTGCCAGTGCACCACCGCTGAGCTGAATCGAAGGGGGAGCTTTATGGGCTTCTGGTTGGGGTAGAATGAACTGACCTATGGTCGGCCTACTTCTGCAGCGGGACAGCAAGTTTAGGGAGGATTGTCCACAGGATCGCGAGGAACTGGGTCGCCACAGCTGGGCTCTCCTCCACACCCTTGCTGCTTATTACCCGGACCTGCCCACCCCAGAACAGCAGCAAGACATGGCCCAGTTCATACATTTATTTTCCAAGTTTTACCCGTGTGAGGAGTGTGCCGAAGACATAAGGAAGAGGTGAGTTTCCACAGCTGCCTGCAGGCAACAGTGCCTTAGGACTGAAGCTTGGGCCCCCTGGCTGATGTCATAGAGAGGGGCCTAGGAAAACAGGGCAGAGGTGGCAGAGGGTTGCCTAGGAGCTGGTGCTACTAACAGGGAGGGAATGTGTCATGTGAGCATTTCCTTTCTCTAAAGCCAGACTGCCAGGATCTGCTGCTGGATACAGCTGTGTCAGATTCCTGGGAAGGGCTTCCGTAGGGCCTGTCCCTTGCCCAACCCTCCTGGATGCTCCCCCAGGTTAGCTAGGTTGCCTAACTTCAGGAGCTGAATTGCTACTTTTCAGACTTTGAGAGCCTAATGCTTTTGCTTCCAAGAGTCACATTTTCTTCACTGAGGCCCCCAAGAGTCTGAGCCTGTTCCCCTGTAGGCTTTTCTAGGCTAGATGTGTGGGGCATAGCTGTCCTTGCTGTTTGACACCTAAACAGTTAAAAAGGTGTATTGCTGATTTGGGGTACTAGGGTGCAGGTGCTAAGAAACAGTTTTGTGGTTGTGCCTTGCCTTGCCCTTCCATACACTGCCTGGGGTCAGAGACACCAGTGAAGCGGCCTTATTATTATAAGATTGTAAAATTACCTGGTCTGTGTTTTAATGCCTTCCTCTAGGCTCTTTGCCAAGCTCCTTGGGTGGGTGTGGGAGCAGCCCTGGAAATCCACTGCATTCAAGAAACCTCTTGGTCAACTCTGTTCTCAGAATTCCTACCTCTTGGAGCATGAGGGCACTCCCAAATGTAGCTCACAGCAGTGCCCCACCTCCTCTCCCTTAGCACTGACAGCAGAACAGCCACTACCTCCTTACATCCTTCCTGTGCTCCCTCTTGCAGGATAGGCAAGAACCAGCCAGATACTCGCACCCGGGCAACCTTCACCCAGTGGCTGTGCCGTCTGCACAATGAAGTGAACCACAAGCTGGGCAAGCCTGACTTCGACTGCTCGCAGGTGGATGAACGCTGGCGTGACGGCTGGAAGGATGGCTCTTGTGACTAGAGGATGGCCAGCCAGAGCCCATGGAGTGGCCAGACAGGGCCTATGGGTGCAGCCTGGCTGGTTAGGGATGGAGTGCTGATTAAAGTGCCTCTGAGCCGGAGCTTGTTGTGTTTCAGTTGGGTGGTCCCCAGGATGCAGCCCCTCCAACAAGTTTAGTATACAAGTGAAGGTGCTTGCTGCAGGCACCCTGTGGCCTCCCCCTGAGGCCCCATGGAGCTGCAAGTAAGGGGGTCAGGAGCAGCCCACACTGCCCCTTGCCATTCAGGATACAGCCTCCCATCAACTCCAAGTTCTGGACCTAGTCCCCACACAAGAGGGCAGTGGGTCTGATGGGTTCTTTTTCCTGCTCTTGGAGGCCAGGCTGTTGCCTTCCCACTGTGTGCTGTGGACACCTCAGTGCTGTGGCCTCAGTGATGCTGTCCTGTTGTAGGAAAAGGCTTGAGGCTGAGCTCAATTCTGTGCTCAGTCCCCACAGGGAAGAGCCCAGGCAGAGTTTCTCTCAGATTCCATCACTGGGGATCCTGGGGACAGCTTCCTCAGAATGAGACCAAAATAAAATGCTGGAGAAGTGACTGAGGACTTGGTGTCTGTGTGCTTTGTGCTGGGGTTTACAGTTGGGGCAGGGCCTGCTGTTGCCTCCCATGGTGGGCCCTCCTGACTGGCAGGGAGAGGTTCTGAGGTGGCAGCAGGCCAGGGTTATTACAGGAATAGCAGGGAGGCCCCAGTGGCAGGGGCGAAGGGAGCCAGAGTAGCTGAGGAGCAGTGAGGCCAGATGGCATAGAGTCTTGAAGAGCCCCAGTCAAGATGTGGCATGTACTCCCAGCCCCTATGACGAAAGCTCTTGGAAGGTTTACAGATGAGAAATGGCATAGAGTAATGTGCCTTTTGAAGTCCTGGCTGCTGGGCTGGGATAAGGCAAGGAAGTAGGTAGGAAACCAGCTGAAGGGGAGGCTCCTTAGAGAGGAAGAGAATGCTGGATATATTGGAAGGTAGAGCCAGAGAATTCCCAGGGTGAGAAAGGAGCTAGAGGAGATGTGCTTCAGGTTTTGGCCAGGTCAGCTGGAGATGCTCAACGTCAGTAAACTGGAGATGGCTAAGAGTGTGGCAAGTCTTGCGTGACCTGGTCCCAGCTTTGGGCTTCCCTGGATCTGCTCAGCTCCACCCTTGGTTTCCAACTGGAACAGCCAGACACCAGATCCAGTAATCATAAGCCTCAGGCAACTTCACCCCTGAGGGCCAACTGTGGCATAGTCTTCTGTGCCTTCAGGGGAAGAGATGCTGCTGGCTTCTGAAGGTACTACCCAAAGGCCAAGTGTCAAAGGAGGTGGGAGATGTTGCTCCTCCTTCCTCTGCCAGGCATGGAGCTTCTCTGTCATTTGCCAAGGCAGCAGAGAAAGGATATATGCACATGTGCTGGGAACCAGTTTCAGGTTTCCTGCTGAAACTATGGTCAGCTCAGGACACTTATGTGCCATTCTTCCCTGCCTCACTTCCCCTTTTCCCTAACTGGCCTCCCTAGAATTTCACCTCCTAATAAAATGTCAGTTTGCCTCAGACTGTTTTCAAGGGCATCCAGGCCAAGACAAGTGGAACCTGTGCAAGGGCAGGTTCTGGCTTCTAATGGCACTTGAGAGCTGTTACAGAAAAGGGGCCAGTACAGAGGGAGAAAAGTCAAGGAACACACCTTGTGTCCCTAAGGCTCAAAGGTCACAGGTCCAGCAAGAGGAGGGGCCCAAAAAGGGCTGCCAAGAAGGGCCTGTGATGGTAGGGATGTAACTAAGTAGTAAAGTGCTTGCCTGGCATGCCTGTGGCCCTGGGTTCTATCCCCAACACCCCAAGAAATGGTCCCATGATGTAACGGGAGCATAAGAGGAGCGTGACTTTAAGAAGTGCTTACTGGCTGGAGATAGTGGTGGTGCAGACCTGTAATCCCAGTGACTCAGGAGGCTGAAACAGGAGGATCTCAAGTTCAAGACCAAGTCTCAGCAATTTAGAGAGACCCTGTTTTGAAAAGAAAAAAAAGAAGTGTGCCCTGGAGGGAGGGACTGGAAGAATCAAACTTTCCCCTAGGATTGGCAAATGGAGGTCACGGGCCACCTTCAGTCCAGATGTAGTTGGAAGCTTGATTATATTCGGTTTCAGAGGAAAAGGAAAGACAGGTATTGAAAGCAGAAGATGACAACTCAAGTTACTGCTAAAGGAAGCAACTGGAGGGAAGTGGGGACAAGAGCTGAGAAATGGCATAGAGTAATGTGCCTTTTGAAGTCCTGGCTGCTGGGCTGGAATAAGGCAAGGAAGTGGGTAGGTTCTTTTCAAAAAAGTACAGCATGTTTGGGTGCTGACACAAGCAATGGAGGAAGATGGGGAAATAGAGAACACAGGACTATTTGCTGCCTGCCAGTGAGGAGAGTGGGACTGGATGCAGATGCCAATCATTCAGCACAGGTGTCTCCCACAGGTCTGGATACAGTGTAACATCCAGACACAGTGGCCCACAGTGGCCCACACTGCCCTCTGAAGAATGGACTAATACTCCTACCTGCACAGGATGAATGAAGCACTTGGCACTGTACCTGCTCAGTCAGCACAGACTACTTATTCCTGATCCTGGTCCCAGAAGACCAGAAACAGGTGACTGGGAGGCTTTTCCATGACCCCCACTGCAAACTTGATTCTCCATAAGATTCTAGACCCCCTAACAGGAGGGTCAGGAGGGAAGAATGGCCTCTGTCATTAGGGGGTGTTTGTCCAGGGAAAGGCACCCACTCAGGCCAGCAACATAGGAGTCATTCAGGTTCCCTCCAGGCTGGTCTGGAAGGAACACAAGGGAAGGAGCCCTGTCACTGAGCTGGGAATCTGTGGGAGACCTACTAGGGACAGGACATGGAGGCACCAGCTGGCCTGAGCCCCGCTTCTGCTACTTCTCCATGCCCTCAACGTAAGTACTTCAGTGACAGGTCAATGAGGGAGACTTAGGTGTCAGGAGGGCTCTTGCAGAAGGACAGGAGCAGAGATGTTCAACACCCCGGCATGCTGGCCGTCAGCACTGTCCTCCAGGCAAGCTCTCTTCTGGAGTCCCTGTCAGGGAAGCTAGAACCTTCAGAAAGAGAAGCTAGGTGCCAATGGCGGGGGCAGGTGTCTCACTAAAGGACCCCATTTAACTATCTCTGGTCCTCTGGGAACAGGGCCAGGGAGTAAGATGCTGGGCTTCAGTTCCCCCTTCGCAGTCACCAAAGGTCTCTCTGCTCAGAGGACTAGGGTCAAATCCTTGTCCTTTGGCTCACCTCCCAGCCACTGCAAAATCTGAGACCAGTGCCAGCCTCCCCTTGCCCCATGGGAACCTGGCGGTCAATCCCCAGAGAATGTCTCCAATTCGGACCCGGTCACGCAAGCAAGGGTGGGCGGGGCGGACGGAAGCAAGGGCTCAGGCCTCGCGCGTGGACCCGGTGGGGGGCGCTGGCTCGGCCCCGCCCCGCGCGCCCACGTCGTGGCCGGCGCGCGCTCCCGGGAGGCGGCAGCAGCGGCGGCGGCGGCGGCAGCAGCAGCATCCATAGCATCAGCATCCTCGGCAGCAGCCGCGGGCGGCCTCGGGCTGGGACCGCCGTACAGACGGACAGAGGGTGCCAGGGGCGCGGGGCCGCCGGGGCCAGCCATGGAGGGCGCCTCGTTCGGCGCGGGCCGCGCGGGGACCGCCCTGGACCCTGTGAGCTTTGCGCGGCGGCCCCAGACCCTGCTGCGGGTCGCGTCCTGGGTGAGTGGCCCCTGCCCAGCCTCCCGCCCTGGTCTCTGGCCCCGCCTCTACACGCGTCCGAGGTACCCCCACCCAAACCCTGCCCCTCGCCCCTCACCCCTCACCCTCCTCCACCTCCGGCCCCTCCCCCCCGCCGCAGGTTGGGGTGACGTCACCGGGCTGGGCGCGCCCACCTGCGGGCGGGGGAGGGGCTGGTAAAGACTGAGGGACCTTGAGAGGTCACCGCTGGTTGCCCCCTACCCCCGATTTCTCCATCGGTCTGACTCCAACCCCCTTCCTCAGCCTTCTCTCGGTTTTTCTTGTTCCCACGACCTGGAAGTGGGCACAGGGGTGGGAACGAGCTTTGCCAAGGGGCTTGAGCGCTCAGCCCCGGCTTGGCTGGAAGAAGGGGCTGCAGGAGCCTCCCTCTCCCGCCAACACACATCCGCTAGGCCCCCTTGAAGGGACCCGACACTTCTCAGGCCCCAGATCCAGCTGTGAGTTGAGGGAGGGGTTACTAAGGGCTGGGGCAACCGGAAAGGGCTCTGCACCTGGAGGGCTTCCTGGAGGTGGTGCGGGAGGAGCAGCTGGGGGCAGTCTAGCCCACTGGGGCATGCCTTGCTGCTTCTCGCCCTCTAGAGAAGAGAGATGGGAGGTGGGTGCCGAGTTCCAGTCTTGTCCAGCTGGCGCCTGCCGCACCTCCGTGCCTGTCTTTGAGGAGGGCGGTGTCCGGGGTGGGGCAGGGGCCCCTGGACTTCCCGGTGGAGAGACTGACCAGACCAGGAAGCAAGAACCAGGCTTCTCCCCGGCTTTTCCCCCTCATCAGGTCCCTCAGAACTGGGGCGGGAAAGGAGTGAAATGATGAAGTTGAGAAGGGAGATCTTTTCTCGAAAACTCAGGCTGTCCAGAGCCCAAGAACAGTGTCTGATTTAAAATGATTATGGTCCACCTCCTACCTGCCTCTCCCAATTGGCGGGCAGGAGGAGGTCCTGAAGTTGGACTGAACCCCAGAGGTCAGTGGGGTCACCCTTTGAGCCCAAAAGCTCATCAGTAAAATTAATAATCACAGATGGGGGCCTTCCTCTCTCAAGTGCCCACCACTGCTGGAACCGAGTTCTGGTACTGAACAAGACCAGAACTCGGCACCAGCCTGTTTACCCCATATGGCCTGCTAGAGGGCAGGCCTCACTGTGGGGCCAGCTGCCCCTCTAGCCACAACCAACTCTCCTGGCTCCACTCCTCCCTATCCCTTCTAACAAATGCAGCCCTGGAATCACCATCCAGGTAATGGCTCCTGTTTCCACACTCTCAAGTGGGTTCTGGAGGGCCCCATCCTTACAGAGAAGCCGGGTTGTGTCTCAGCCCTGATTCTTATGAGCCATGTGACCCTAGTAGATAAGTCATTTCACCTGTTGGAGCTCAGTTTCCCCAACTATAAAAGTGATAAGGATAATGACACCTCGGTAGGGTTAGAGAATTCAGTGAGCAAAGGTATATAAAGTTGCACTTTTAACACAGTGCCAGGACTTATTAGATGCTCACTAATGGTTCCTGTAGCCAGTAATTACGAAATTCGTGAGGGGTGGGAAATATGCGCCCCATGCTTCAGGGGAAATGCTGGAGCAGGCAGGCATTGAGGTGTGGGTGCTGGCGGTGGGTGGCAGAAGCCCAGGATCTGGGCTGTAGGAAGGGGCCTGGCACAGGGTCTTCAGAGCCTTCGGCTGCTTATAGGTGTTCTCTATCGCGGTGTTCGGCCCCATTGTCAACGAGGGCTACGTGAACGCCGACAGCGGCCCGGAACTGCGCTGCATCTTCAACGGGAACGCGGGTGCCTGTCGCTTCGGCG